CAGAAATGTTCTCATCCAGAAAGTTGAATATCCTTGGGGGAAACCAGTTTCCCTTTCAGGGTTTAAGTTTACATCCAAATTAGGTTTTGACAAATCTAACTCCGATTCACTCCTTCATTTTTCTTAAATTGTACAAGTGTGACATGGTCTCAATGAGGAAGAAGGCGTGCCTTGGCAAACAGACTTTGCGATCAGTCAGACACGCATCCAGCTTTCTTCTCCTCTCTAAGCCTCAGTTTCTTCACGCCCATAAAGCGGGAATAAATGATTCTTTTGAAGTCTTGTTGTGCTGATTAAAGATGTGTGTAAATTGTCTAGGTTTTTACAATTAATATTCCTACTATTTCAAGTAACAACTATCATCATTTCTGTTATGTCTTACCCCGAGGATAAATAGAATTATTTATTTATACCTTACCTTACTTTAAAAAGGCTTTACAATGTAAAGAGGACACTTACACACTGCGTATTTCTGACATATAATAAGGATATAGGTCCGTCTCTTACACTCTCTCCTACTTATGTTTTCCTTCCTTAAATTACAGGGACTTAAAAAAAATCAAATCAAACTTTAGCACAAATCAGTCAATAATCATTGATTTTCAATGCCAAACAACTTGATTCTGAAGATTATACAATTTTCCAAACCTCTCAATAAGTAATACAGTGACTGGTTAATGTTGAAATTGATTAAAATGTTAGAAGACAAAGAAAAAAATTCAGGGGCCACTACATTTTCACCAGAGTCTGGTTTGAATAGAGACTTTACAAACATTGCTAGGAGAGCGTGGCTGCACTGAGATCTGGAAAACTGAGAGGGGTCTCCAGGAGACTCATCCAAATAGATGGCTGTTGAGAGTTTCAGGGTCTGGGTAAGTTGGAACTACCCATGTTTACTTGGCTTTGCGTGAGCAGACATAGACATTGTGAAGAAACAGAGAATGGAGAGGAAGCCTGAGCATTTCGTTTAAAGCAAGTGAGAACTTTGAAATGGAGAGCCTCAGATTTCCTCACATATACTCTCAAAATTCAGTAAGCGCCAGGGTGGTGCCTGTGGCTAGTGAGTAGGGCGCTGGCCCCATAAACCGAGGGTTGCGGGTTCAAACCCAGCTCCGGCCAAACTGCAACAAAAAATAGCCCGCTGTTGTGGTGGGTGCCTGTAGTCCCAGCTCCTCGGGAGACTGAGGCAAGAGAATCACCTAAGCCCAGGAGCTGGAGGTGCTGTGAGCTGTGACGCCACAGCACTCTACCAAGCACAATAAAGTGAGACTCTGTCTAAAAAAAAAATTCAGTAAGCGCAAACTGCACAGCCGAGCCCTCCATACAGGCTTTCTGACCTTCCTTGTCAGCCCTGTTTGCTACAGGCCCCCCATAACCTCCATGCACTGGTGTCCTGGACTCACCTGACCCCACTCCAACATGCCTACAGTTTCCTTTCTTGTATTCACACTTTTTCCTATGTGAGCAGCCAACTTCTAATCAAACTTCAAGATCTTGTTCAAATATCACGTTTTTGACATCTTCTCTCTTACCTAAGGCATAATTAGTAATGCTCTCTGTCTCTGGGCTAGAATAGAATCAGGTGCAGGGTGAAGTATGGAAAGGGCAGTCCTTCTGCTGTCAAAGTCGTCTCAATTTGAATCTGATGCTCACATCTACTCATGGCACGATCTTAGGCAAGTAATCTTCTCGATGCCCACTCTCTCGATTTTTAAAATGAAGACTGTTAATTCCCTAAATTTATGGGGTGCATTGATGATGCTGTATCGGCAGTTTGCCTGCCTATATTTCTTGTTGCAAGCTCATTGAAATGAGAAATCTTATTTTTTTTGCCGCATCACAAGGCACCTAGCACGGTGCCTGGTGTTTTGCAGCAATCAATGTTATTTTAATCAATAGACAGTTCTGGAAAAGTAATGCAAGTACTGAGAAGCCAATTAAAGACCTAGTTCTATAAAGTGCTCTCTGGTCACTTCTGAGACTACAAATTTAAATTTTTTTAAAAAAGCACAAGACAGGGCGGTGGCCGTTGCTCAGTGAGTAGGGTGCTGGCCATTTACACTGAGGTTGTCAGGTTTGAACCTGGCCTGGGCCTGCTAAACACCAGTGAAAACTGCAACCAAAATATAGCTGGGTGTTGTGGTGGGCACCTGTAGTCCCAGCTACTTGAGAGGCTGAGGCAAGAGAATCACTTAAGCCCAAGAGTATGAGGTTGCTGCAAGCTGTGACTCCATGGCACTCTACTGAGGGTGATACAGTGAGACTATATCTCAAAAAAAAAAAAAAAAAAAAAGCATACCACATACATTTTGGCATTACTGAAAGGACATCCAGCCTTTTGTTGATGAAGTGCTGGGGAGAAAGGCCTATGTTTTTGTATCCTCCATAAGCCCTTGCTATGTGTTTGCCATGTGGTAGGTATTCAATAAAAATTCTTATTTATATTCAACTATATATAAACAAACAGGAGATCTGTCCTTAAGTTCTCACCAGGAATCACTGAAAAATCTCATTCTTTTATTATATCACTAATATTTCTATGAGAGGACTTTTTACTATGATGTTACATACCCTCATGTTATTTTTAGAATGACACCACATATTTAAATAAATTTTCATTTAGCTTGAATGTTTTAGGGGACAGTAAATTATTATGTCAATGACTGGGTTGTCCAATGATACTTCTACTTAAAAATACATAGATAGTGCTGTGGTTTGAGCCTCAGAAGCCCTGAGAAATGATAACTTTTCCTCTTGTATTTCATGGTGACATCTATTGACCATAACTTGTGGATCTACATGGTGCTCAAAAGCCAATTGTGGCAGAAAGTGAAAGAAAAGGACATGAAAAGAAAGAGAATATGAAGAAGATGAATTATTTTACAACACAGCAATAAGATATTAGTATTATCACTCAAAAAATAGATTTAAAAAGCTATACAAGTATAGCTAACATCATACTTAATAGTGAGAGAGTGAATGCATTCTCCTTAAGGTCAGGAGAAAGACAAGGATGACTGCTTGTGCCCTTTCTATTCAACATTGTATTGGAGGTTCTAGCTGGGGCAATTTGGTATGAAAAAGAAATGAAAGTTATCCATGTGCTGGGAATGGGGGAGTAAAATTTTTTTTGCATGTCATGATCTTGTCATTTTATATATAAAAAACTTTAAGGAATTCACTAAAAAACTGTGGATTCAACAAGATTGATGTAAAAATAATTGTATTTGTATACATTTGGGATGAATAATCCAAAAATGAAATTAAGAAAACAATTCACATTTAAAAGAATGAAGTTGGAACCCTACTTTATACCATATACAAAAGACTAACTCAAAATGAATCAAACACCTAAATTTAAGATCTAAAACCATAAAACTCTTAGAAGAAAATATGATGCAAATCTTCATGACTTTGGATTAAGCAATGTTTTCTTAGATATGACAAGAAAAACAAAAAATGCATAAATTAGACTTAACCAAAATTAAAAACTTCTGTGTATCAAAGGATACTATCAAGAAAGTAAAAGACAACCATAAAATGGGAGAAAATATTGTAAAGCATGTACCTAACAAGGGATGAATAACCTGAATATGTAAAGAACTTCTACAATTCAACAATAACAAAACAAACAATTTAAAATAGACAAAGGAATTGAGTAGACATTTCTCCAAATAAGATACACAAATGGCCAATAAGCACATGAGAAGGTACTCAGTATCAAGTCATTAGCAAAATGAAAGTAAACAACCATAATGAGATACTACTTCATACCCACTAAAATGTGTATAATCAGAAAGACATATAACACCAAGGATTAGTGAGGATGTGCAGAAATTAGAACCATCATACACTGCTGGGGAAATGGTACAACTTCTTTAGAAAAACAGCCAGGCAGGTCCTCAGAATACTAAGGATCGAGTTATATGACCCAGCAATTCTACTCCTAGGTATATACTCAGTGGACATAAAAAATAAATCCACAAAAAAATTTATATACAAATGTTCATAGTGGGGTTATCTGTAATAACTGAGAACTGGAAACAACCCAAATGTCCATAAACTGATGAACGAATAAATTAAATGTAGTGTAGTCACACAATGAAATATTATTTAACAATAAAAAGAAATAAAATAAAATAAAAAGGATGTAGTTACACATGCTATGACATAGACCCATGTGGACAACATTATACATGTGAAGAAAGCACTGGAAAAACCCGATTAGCATATAATTCTGTTTACATAAAATATCCAGAATGGCAAATCAACAGACAGAAAGTAGATTAGTGGTTGCCTGTGGTTGGATTGGGGGTGGGAGGATGGGGAAATGGGAAATGACAACAGTCCCTGGTCACAGGATGTCCTCACGGAGAGACGATATGTTCTAAAATCCATAGTGGAGGTTGCACACCTCTGAGTACACTAAAACCTGCCATGACTCGCATACTTTACGGATGTGAATTTTACCTCCTAAAGCTATCATTTAAAAAGATGTAACGTGCCTGTGTGTGTGAGCATTCTGATTTTGGTGATGAAATTTTCTCTGTTCTCTTCTATGTCTGTCACAACAATCCGTGTATTCAACGATCCACGTGTATGTCCATGACCACTGTCTCAGCTTTATATGTGTAACAGACCAGATAGACCTTCTGGTAAACCAATACCTTTTATGAAATCAAATTTTTAGAACATTAATTTAAAAGAAAACAAGAAACAAACAGCTAAGTGTCTTTTTTCTTTTCCATTGTAGTCTTTCTATGACCTTCAGCCACACATTGCTTCTGCTGCCCACTAGCAGCTTTACCCCCAGTATTTAATAAATTTACTGTAGGTTCATTTAATCAGATATGACATTATTAACTCTAGCATTACATTGATAATAGTGCTCTACTATCTGGTGGCTACGTAATTTGTTTGCCGTCGAAAACCTGAATGTTAATTACAGTTAAATCCATGGCAACAGCGAGAACGTGACATTTCCATCATTTTGTACCTACCCCTTTTGAATCAATCACTCCAGGTTTGGCATTAAACTTCACTGTCTTCAATCGGGCACGTTCCTTTCTTTCCACCCTAAAGCAAATTGAAAATAAAGAGTCTATCACATGACAAGGCAGTTATGATTAAGTTCTTTATTAAGAATGCCTCTTCTTCCTATCCGATAGCTCAAATAAGGTGTGTTCGAAAATATTTCTCTTCCTTTGTTCTACATTAAAAAAAAATCTCTGTACAAAGTCTCTAAGCTTTAACATGTCTCTCAAAATTTCTGTATTACATGTACCAAGGGTCACAATATTTGGAAGAGACACAGAAGGAGAAAAAACAGTATTATTTACATGCTTAAATAAAAATCCATTTCAAGAAATCATAGTCCATAGAGGTGAATATCTGAAGTGGAAATTAAACAAGGGTTTCCTTATCTCTCCTCTCCTCCTCTTTTTTTCCTTTCTTCTTCCTTCCCCTCCCATTAAGAATACAAGTACATTTAATTTCACTGGATAACCAAACATGTTATATAGTATAATGTTAAAATTTCCCCTTCCCTTACTGTCCTTCCCCTGTCTTCTCTGAAGATTCATTGCTTTTCCTGCCACTTCATTCCTTTATTAAACACTTATTGAGCGCCTACTATGTATTTGCAAGGAGCTGGGGAATAAAAAAAAAAATTCTGAAAGCACGACTGCAATGACCTGGGACCAATGTGCTGTTGGCAAGAGCAGAGAAGTGAACAACGACTGAGACTGCGGTACAGTAAGACTATAGGGAACAGTGTGGGAGCACCTACATGGCTAAGAGGGTAAAATGGAGGGGTGGAAAGTGCTGGGGTGGATGTCTTGGAGGAAGTGTCAATTTATTTGAGACTTGAAGGATGAAAAACAGCTTGTCAGTAGGAAAAGTTCACGGGGAATTCCCACCGGAGTAACACCACCTGCCTCCACCCAAGGATATGAGCAAGCTAAAAGATTGCAGGAAGATTCTGGTGCATGAGACATACTGGACAGGGAGGTGAGGCTAGCGACGTGGTGGGCCCCTTCCACACTAAGGACTAGAGTTCTGTCCTTGGGGAAAAGTTTCCCTGATTTTGCCAAGTCTTTTTAGTTAGACATGATCATTTCTTCCTCTGAGCCACACAGCACTTATTTGTGTATCTCTAGGGCAATATATTCTCTTGATTTCCTTGTGTTTATTTCTGCATTACATTACCACACACCCCTCAATGACACAGCAATCCTCAATAGCTAATTGTTGAACAACAGTAACGTGCACTGCATTGTTTTGATATGACTTTTTGTTTAAATACGGCTAGCTCTAATTTCAAAACTGGGGAAAGAAAAAAGAGAAAGAGGATAAAAACTCCCGGAACCTAAAGAAACTTAATGGTTTATGAAGTCTAAGCTATTCATAGATCAATCATTAGTAGCACACTCTTTTCTGAAAGAGAGCTGTTTTGTGTTCCCAACTGAAACACCATGAAGATTGAGGTTTCTATAGTTACGGAATGGAGTTCTAGAATACATTTATTCCAGTGTGAGAGTAGAATATTTGAGCGGAAACAGTTGAACAAAATTTAAAAAATCTCCCTTCAGATATTAAAGTGATGTGGGGATGGGTGCCACCGAGACGTTCTTACTTTCACATGACGGGCGTGTGGAGAGCAAGAAAGACACCAGGTGAGATGAGCTGCCGGTGGTAAAACGCTCACTGGAAACAAATCCCTGCTCCCAGCTTTATCATCACCTTTTGTCAATTTCAAACCAAGTTCAAATGGTAACTCATAGTCATCTCTTTAGACTCTCCTAAAACTATTCTTAGAGCCCCAACTTTATTCTTGCTTCTTTGCCTTAACTCAGCTAAAGATGAAAACCATTAACTCATTCGATGATGCCAAAATCACTGTGGCATGCAGGAAATACCTGGTTATTTGATCAGGGGATGCAAATAAATTCTGCATAAAACCACAGAACTCACGCAGGTCCCAAACAGACATAAGATTAGGCTGAACTCAGTATTCAACTCTAAGACTGTTTGGACAGAGCATTCTAATTTGTTTCCTTCCGGTTTCTAAAGTTATCCTCTTCTGTTTTTTTTTTTTTTTTTATTGAATGGTAACTATGTACATTAATGCACTTCTGGGGTACAGTGTGGGGTTGTTTTCACATGCAATCCGAAATACTTCCATCAAACTGGTCAACACAGCCTTCATGTCATTTTCTCAGTTATTGTTTTAAAACGTTCACATTCTACTCTTAGAAAGATTCACTTGTACCCCTATAAGATAAACCTCAGAAGTGATCCCTCCAAACCCCCTCCCTCCACTCATTTCCCCCTCCCTTCTCCCCCCTTCTGTTTTCTTAAGAAATCTTTCTACTAGGCCAACTTAAGTGCTTCATCCTTTAAATCTTAAAAGAGTTGAAAAGAATATTATGTCAGATGGATGTGTACACACATAGATATACACAGACATGCTCACCTACTATTCGCTATGGTTTATTATTCATTTTCAAAAAGGTAATAAAAAAGTTAAGATAAATTCGTTTTGAAGTTTTATAGAAGTGAAATGGTTTTAGTTCACTCTTGAAGGAAGCTGGAAAGTTTAGCTTCCTCTTTGGGTTGAAAATGTCATTAATTATGATAACGATGATGTAAATGGCAAGTGAGGCTTTAATATAGAATTATTATGAAAGCCTTTTGCATTCACATCTTCTCATTTGGTCCCATAACAACCCAGTGTTGCAGGTATTATCCCGACAGAGACCTGAGGCTTGTCATCTGAGAAAGCGGTAGGAACAGAGCCTGAGCACACTTTCTCTGACAGCTACATCAGCGTGTATCCACAGCCACTCAGTTTGGAAAACAACATTCCAGGAGCTTCCGTGCATGCCTTGTCCAGTGGGACTTCTCACTAGACATGAGCTTGTGGGCAGGTCGTCCACATGTTAAGGCCCATACATATTCTTACAGTCTGGACTGAATATTTCACAAGTGACAATCACCCTCTCCTCCTTGCATTACCATCTCCCAATTGTCCTAAATTAAATAAATCAAGTATAACATTACTGAGGTGGTATCATACCGTAACAGGCTGACCTCCAAATTCAGACTAAATTTGCTTTTAACACTGAAACCAGCTTAGCAACACGTCATCACACATCTTGAGTGGGTCTCTCTCCTTGGCATACCAGCAACCTCAGCTGTGCTTCCCATCCCAGAGGCCTGTACCTATTGCCCTTGAGGCTCCTGCAAAGCTCTCTCCTCAGTAGCACTGGCTATGGCTTATCTTTTCTTCCTCACCTGCCTCGACCACTCCCCTTTGTCTATCTCTTCCTGGGATGCATGTGGATAGTTTGCTGCGGACATGAGAGTTAAGGTTGGGAAACAGGGCCCTAAGTGACGTGATCCCCCCCCCCCACCTTAGGCTTCAGACACTGAAATTCCAAAAAAAGGAAAACAGCCATCATTTGAAAGTGCTCTAAGTATTACAAGCTGTGCTAAGCACTTCACCTCTGCTATGTATAATCCAGGGATTAAAATGGGGCTGGACATGGTAGGTGCTTAATGAAGCTTTGCTGACTGAATGGATGAACTGTTCAGGAAGCTCTATCTTGACCTAGGTGTGAAAAGGTCAAAGAGTTGAAATAACTTGCTGAAGAACAAGTGTTTCCTATACAAAATTGTTCACTATTTCACAACTTTTTCTCTTGGTAAGAATTTAGGTAAAAGTTTAGCATGACTTTCCCTGATTGTTTTACTGAGTAGGACTCGTTTGGTAGAAATAAATATTAAGGTCCCAAGGCCTTTACCTAAATAAATGGTGGACTACCTGCATAGACAGACTGAATCACAATGAGAACGACTGCCTTACTTTCCCTCACACTGGACCAAAGCAATTAATTAGATTGTTTAAGCAGAAATAATTCTCTCCACCCAAGGCTCGTCGCTGACAAAAATACTGAAAAGGTTGGAAAAATTTGGGCAATCAATTCTGACACCTTACATCTACAGAGAACTCCAAATGGTCATGCTTTATTTAATGAGCCCGACTGTCTCCTTCTTCCTCTCCCCCATCTCCCATCTGGTATTTTCAGGTTCCAGCCAAATACATAATGGGGTCAGGCTTAAAGCACTGGACAGTGGGAACATCGTTTGTCCCTGGGAGTTCCTTTGCCTGGGCTCCATGGGCCCTGTTGGAAGGAGAATTGTAACATCATCCACATGAGTGGCCAGAGGCTTGCTGTGAAGGTTAGATGAGTAAACCCTTATGTAATGTCAGTCACAGGCTGCCATCTGAGAGTCCAGGTGACCAGTCACTGGGGAGCAATGAGTCGAGATTTGGATTAAGAGACTTTGGAGCAAATCCCAGCTTGGCCACTCACAAATTTTATAATTTCAGAAAAAAAATTCTATGCTAAGAACCCAGGTTTTGAAATTACACGAGCCTGGGTTTGAATTCTGCCTCTGCTACTGACTAGGTCTTTGACCTAAGGGAGTCATTCAGTCTGTGAGGATTTCTGGTTTCCGGTTGGTAAGATTCGAATAGCAACATAGACTTCAAAGCATTATGGGAAATGTTAAATGGGATAATACAAGAAAGCTGTTTGACAGTGTCTGACGTGTAGCAAGAACTCAGGACACAGAAGGCTGCTGCGGAGATGATGATAGCTCTGTCCAGGATGTTTCTTATCATTACCAGGCCTGCTTTCCTTACCTGTAAAGGGAGGTAAGATGGTAACATTCTCTAGATGCTCATCGCCAAGTTTACTCTCTCCCTGCCAGGTGGGGCAAAGGCATGGACTTTTCTCTTTACCTACAAGGAGACTCCCCAATGTGGGCCACCACACTTGGGAGCTGTAGGGCTGGGAAGACCCCCAAACTTTTGCAGTTGTTCATAGAGATACCAGAAAGGCATGTGTTCAAATCCTGGCTTAGTCCTCTGCTGCCAGTGTGTTCTGAGTTCTCTGACTCTCCCTTTTCTTATCAAGAAGTGCTCCTAGTGTGGTGGAAAGCCATCTGGTCTTGCAGCCAGAAACACTGGGGGTTCAGCCAGAGACTGGCTGTGCATCCTGGGGTCAGTTACTTGTCTTCTCTGACGCTCAATTTCCTTTCGAAATTTTTGTGATGATTCAATTGAAAATTGCACATTTGGGCTCGGAAACTGTGGCTCAAGTGGCTAAGGCGCCAGCCACATACACCTAAGGTGGCGGGTTCAAATCCAGCCCAGGCCCGCCAAACAATAATGACGACTGCAACCAAAAAAAAAAATAGCCAGGCGTTGTGGAGGGCACCTGTGGTCCCAGCTACTTGGGAGGCACAGGCCAGTTGTTGTGAGCTGTGATGCCAGAACACTCTACCCAGGGGGACAAGCTTGAGGCTCTGTTTCAAAAAAAAAAAAAAAAAAAGAAAATTGAATATTTGAAAGCACCTGGTGTGAGATGTGATCAGTGCAGTCATCGGGTGGAGTTCATCCTCTGTCTGCTGCCCTTCCACTTCTCCTGGTGCCTTTGCAATATAGCTCTCGTTGCCCTATTCAGAGTTGCTATGGGACAGTTACATGCTGGACACTCAAATGATGGGCACAAGCCTACAACTGCATGTGGCACACTGATGCTGACCAAGCAACGCTTGCTGAACTGAATTTTGTCAGCTCTTAGTTTTTTAACCTTTGAGAGATAGTGTTGCCCATGAGTTAAGAGCAATTCTGTAGCCTGGATTCAAATCTTGGTTTTGCCATTTACAAGATGGGCAGTTTCAGGCAAATTGATTACCTGTCTATGTAGTATCTCACTCTAGAGTTGTAATGAGGTTTAAATAAGCTAATAATTGTATAGGGTTTAAAACAGTTTCTAGCATGCTATGGGAATGTTTTAAGTAAAATTTATTCACCATGTTTAAAAAAAGGGAGAGGGAAGAATGATATACTCACACACAATCTTCATCTTATAGTTTCATTAGGATGATTAAATAAACAGAATCATTAATAGAGGAACATCTTTGTAAAAGGTAAAATGATATACCGATAGTATCTGAGATTAAAAAATTTTCCAGATCAGTTATACCAGATAAACTATACTCAGGATATGGGCTAGAAAGGAATTAGGAATTAAAAAAGGACACCAATTTACTATATTTATTTAGTTTTTAAATTGCATTAAAATTAGTACATGCAGACTCTGTGGGTTTAGATTATCAGTAATTTTTTATTTTCTTTATACTTTTTAAAATTTTCCCATTCTCCTACAGTGAAAGGTGTTACTTGTATAAGTACTTAAAACAGTAAATGTGACCTTTTAGGAAATTCAGTAGAACTTTTTTCTGTAAGTTGACTTCCCGAGGGACTGTAACAAACTGATCAACATACAGAGGTGGTCAACATAAGGAACTAGGCCTACGGATACGTACATGTGGTGCATGTCTGGTCTATAAAAATTAGATCAGTATAAGGAGGTGGGCAGTGTAGGGAGGTGGTCAGTAGTGGAGGTTTATTATAATTAAAATCCTAAAAAGAAAATCTGGCAGAAATTTATTTAGCATTACAAATTGTATATATATTTGGGAGGTGAGGCTACTATACCCCTTCGTAAAATAGAATGTAAATAAACATCAATATTGCAGGCCCTAAATAAACTTCTTTTCCAGGACAGCAGCGATGTAGTTGTTAAGATGGTTTTTATCCAAAGTAGGAGGGAAATAGCTAAATCAGGAATGATCACCAGCAGGTGGAACATTATTTCAGGAGGAATAGTTCTGAGAATGTTCTTCAGGGGGAAATGGGCAATTGGACAAATGAATGGCTACTGACAGGAGTGGTTAGAATCACAGAACCTCAGGGTTGGAAAGGGCCTGATAATCCCACAGTTTGGTCTTCCATCCAAAGTCTGACTCTCTTCCCAGGTCATCCACACTATCTCTAGGGGCTCCAAGTAATACAACGATTTCTTTAAAATGAACTAGCACCGATTCCCACACAGCTTTTCTTCCTCTACCTCATTTCTGTCTTCAGGGCCATATTCGTTCAACAAGATGGTGCCAGACAGCAAGCAGCCCCTTAGACAGCTGCAGTTAATTAAATCAAAGGGACCCAAAATGCATGCTGTTTTGCCTTTTTAAAATTTGAAATAGGTGGAAATGGAGAAATGTAGCGTATAAACAAGCCAGTGCTGAGTCGGCGCTTTAAACGTAGGGAAACAACGTTAGGAGCACGGTGCTGTCAGCAGGCCCTCACTGAGCAGCGTCACACCCCTGTGCAGGACCCAGAGGGCGGAGACCAGAGCGTAGTCTGCAGGTGGGAGCTCAGGCACAGGCGTGGAGAACGGAGAGGCTCCCCGGAGTCTCAGCCTCTTCACTGTGACCCTTCCTACCGAAGGTAAGAGAGTAGCTGGAGCACAGTGGGTTTGACGCCCTCCCCACTCTGTTCTTCCCCAGGCTGTGCCGCTACAGACTGAGAAATATGGGACCCAGGCTTCTCAGCGGCACAAATGTCCCAGAGAGTCATTCTGGGTTTAGCCGACACCTTCCCACCGTGGTTGCACTAGCTCAATCCCTGTGGCACTAGCTATGTAGCGGCATTTGCATACTGGCTTTACTGAGGATTTGGTTATATGAGGGATTTTTGCCGTTTGAGAAATGTGCAGTTTGGGAGATGCTGGGGAAAGCTTTGACAGGATTACTCCTAAGTGACTTAGTCCCGTATCTATTTTCTAGGATACATCCAATTTCTGTTTCTTGAAAAATATCCTGGTGCCAAAAACATATTCCCGGGAAGGAAAGTTCCTCTCTGGTGATGTTTAGAAGCTGCTAGGACAGATGATGGAGTTGGCTCTTCTCAGGACATCCCTGCTTTTCAAAAGCAGAGCTGCAGAAATGCTTGGAGGAGAAAGAGCATGATACTATCCATGTGGGAAACACACAGAAGTAAATACCTAAGTGACTACTGAGAAGTGTGGGGTAGGCAACAGGAGTCACTAAAGCAGTAAAAACAGTTGTAAATCCAGCCTTTAGGCCTCAGTAGATGTTTGACAGCTCACGTCCCCAGCAGCTGAATTTGAGATGAAGGCTTTCAGTTTCTTTCCCATCAAATATTTGGTGGTATTACAGTCAGGACCTTTGCCTACTAAATAGCTACTTTATTTGGCTTTTGTCCTTCCTTTCTATAAAATTCATTGGTAAGTGCTGAACCTCTGGAATAGAGCTACCAAGATTGTAAGCCAGGATGGGTAAACTGTTAAGATAATCCTGCACCTGCAGGTGCTGGCAAAAGTTTCAGGAACACAGTGTAAACATATTCTCCTTCCTAGGCCTTGTCACAGTTACCAGTTTTGGTAAAACTTTAATATCTTCATATTAGATATTGAGACATTTCCATTCGTGTCATCTCTCACCCCTGACAGTTTCCCCACATATTGACTCTACTGCTTCAATGGTTATTCTGTGAACAGTTTCCCCCACCTTCTTCTTCCCTCATCTCCACTTCCTGGAGAGTTGAAATCAAAGTCTGGTGTCTAAACGGTGTTCTTACCTTCGCTTGCTGGGGATGACCCCCATCTCCTCACTGTCCCCCTCCAGCGTGACTCTCCTGGCTTGCCACCACTCATCGTCAGAGGCGTTGATGACATGGAGAATATCTCCATATTTAAAACTAAGTCCTTGACTCGGCAGCCCACTGTCCTTGCTCTTGTCATAGTCAAACATGGCTCTGGAAGAAATCACCAAAGAGGACATTGTTAGGAATCTCCAGATTTGGGATTCACAGTTCCAAACGTTCACACTTCCTCACTGAATCCATCATCATTCGATACCATTCCCTAAGTCACAGCCCATGTTTCTACTGCTCTGACCACAAAATGAGGTTGGTTCTTGCTTCTCCTTGGTAGTTATGGGGGCAACCTACAGAGCCCTAAAACTAAGGGCTTCTTCTTTTCTTAGAGACCCCCACATGCTGTAAGGTGATAACGAGATGAAAAAGGCAATTTACTAGCTGAGATTTTTTTTCTCCCACTACAATAGAATTTTTTTTTTAAAAGGAAACTAATGAAGAGAAATATGGCTATCTTTTTGAATGAAACATTTTGTGCTATAAAAAATACTCTCAGCTATATCACCCCAAAGAACTCTTTCTTTTAGAATGAGAAAAAATGGTAACGCCTTAAATGTCCCCCACGGGGAACTGTGTTTATTCCACTCAGTGGGATATGGGACCATCCCTGGAACTGCATGGTTGAAGAGATTTAATGTAATGATCCGAATCAATGCTTAAGGTGCAATAAATTGCAAATAAAAACTATGTTTGTGTGTGTATGCAGAGATAAAATTGTATTAACAATACCACCGATTTTTTTTTTGCTTCCATATAATGCTAAGCCTACCACATCATTGTACTTATTACTCTCAGTTACAATTCTTGTTTTCTGTACCATGTTGCCCCTATTAAGGAGGATTTGCTGAGCATTTATTATGACCAAAGCACTGTGATAAGTATACTAGTGGTATGCAGGAGTTGGAAATAGAGTCAAAATAATGTACATATTAGCAGTTCTAGTAACAGTGTACAAGCATTCCTTTCTCTCTGCATCCGTATCAACATCTATTGTTTTTGGACTGTGTAAGAAAAGTGATTATAACTGGGGTAAGGTGATTTTGTGGTTGTAACTTGCATTTCCCTGGTGATTAGTGACACTGGGCATTTTTCACATGTTCATTGGTAGCACAATTCACAGTTGCAAAGATGTGGAGTCAACGGAAATGCCCATAAAAGAACCCAGAGAGGGGGGTCGTGAGTGGATCAACGATGTGGCATACGTAGACCACGGAATCCTACTCAGCCAGAAGAAGGAGGGTTTAATGCCTTTGCAACAATTTGGATAGAATTGGAGATCATTATCCTAAGTAAAGTATCTAAAGAATGAAAAAAACAAATACCACATATAGTCACTATTAAATTGGAACTAACCGATGAGCACCCATGTGCACAGGGAGAAGGAAAACGCAATGGAAATCACCTGGGGGTGGGGGGCAGGGACGCACGGGATGGGTGAGAACCTGCCTAACAGGTACAGTGAACACTATCTGCGTGACAAGAACACTTTATAACCCCGATTCAAGCATGACAGAAGCAATCTAGGTAACCAAAAACATTTGTACTCTCATTACTTTGAAAGTTTCAAAAAAGGGAAAAATAAGAAGATAAGTCAAAAAAAAAAAAAAAAGATGAACAAGACCTTGGTAACTAGCTGTTATCCTGAGGAGGGGCCCATTTGTCACAAGTCCTATGTTCTGTGCCCCCTGCTGATCCCCCACTCTCAACCACCACACACAGCAGATTTCCCCACAGCAGTGGATGTTGCCGCTGCTGTTTATTTCCCTTTGATTTCATTCTAAAAATTTCCTTGGAGTGTAACCACCATGCATGCAAAACTGGCAAGAGCTGGGGAAAGGACTTTTATGAAGACTCTGTTTCTTCAGATTTTTCTACTGAGTACTCAGTGTATGTTTTTTCTTTTTCTCCTTTTTTTCCTACCAAAAAAAAAGTCACATCTGCTGCCATGGCAACCCAAAAGACTGGAAGACAGCATCTAGAGCTCTTAAATATGGCAGAAAAAGTTGAATTACTAGCCACACTGTCCCTTCTGCCATTAACTCTGTCTTGGAAAGATGGAATTTGGAGAGAGGTTTTTAGTCCAAACACCCAGAATGAATGTTTCTCACTTCAACCATCTGTATCTTTCCTACCAGAGGCCAGGACAAAGCCCCAGTCCAGAAAAGTGGGCCGGGGAGGGCAAAGACCCACTCCTGATGCTGTTGCTTTTCTGGCTGCGTGATGGGACTCAGTTTGATGCTGGAGGAATTAGGTACTTCCTATGTGACTCCACTGAGAGAGGACTCGTAGAACCTAATTTCCTCCAGACTCTGCCCCACGTTCCTTTTCCTTAGCTGATATTGCTTTTGGTCCTTGTGCTGTAATAAGTCACAGTCATGGGTGAGTCCCAACACAGACATGTTGAGTCCCATGAACCCTTCCAGTGAGTTGTCTTGGGGGAAGCGTAACACACACTTGGAGATTGCAATGCATTGTCACAGGTGTGAACTTATTTGTGAGTCAACCCATTGCTGTGAAGAAGGTACGGCAGACTCAGCGCCATCACAGTTTTACAGACGAGGGACATAGCTAGAGAGGCCCTCCGATTAACCCCAGGATACGTCGCTCCATGGCAGCAACCGAGGACTGGAATTGAGCCAGCAGACCCAAGTTCTAGTTCCAAGCTCTTCACCCTGCCCCCCATTCAACCTGGGGGTGCTGGTGGTGGTGATGAGGAGTGAAAGGTGCCAAGCACGATGACTCCCACTGCAGATGGGTTCATTGGGTGGCCTGGCACCTTGTACTCATGGTCTTATTTGATGTCATAACAACCCTAAAGGTAAAAACTAAAATGAGGCTCAGGAAGTTAAGGGGCCTTCCCCTGATCTCAAAAATACACGTGGTAGAGACTGAATATGATGTAGGTCGGTCTGACTCCAAAATTCACTTTCTTGGCCATTTCATTATATGGCTCAATTTCCCAGCCTGCTGCCTCTGGCCATCTGGCCATGCTCACAAACTAGCAATGCCAAAGACTTAGGCTTCCCTACGGGGATGACCACCTCTTCTTCAAATCCCCGAAGCGTCCTGACTGCTTAGTCTCTGTCCCAATATTTCTTATCCCCATTTCCGTCATTCTGTCATGAAATGCTGATAATAATGGCACTGGCTCACAGATTGTTGTGGGAATATCTATATTCCAAAAGACCTTAACTGCTGGCTAGCCAGAAGCCTCCTTCTTGATGCGATATTTGAGGAGTGGAAATAGAGACGCCATCAAGAGGGCTGGAGAGTGGTAGGGCAAGACTGTCTGGGTTTGGGGCTTTTTAACTGTGCCATCCTGAACAGGTTGCTTAACCTCTCTGGTCTGCAAACTTTATTAACTATAAATCAGCATAATAATACTACTACCTACCCTCCAAGTGTTAAGGTGAGGATTAAATGAAATAATATAAAGTTTTGCAACACCAACCTGGCACTCATTGAGTGAGGGGCTCAATAAATGTTAGATATTATTACTATTACATTTGTTATTCTGAAAGGTTTAGTAGGTTTTGAATCAGGGGGTCTATATCCCAACTGTGCCACTTAGTAATTGCTTTCTGGATGGCACATAAAGATGTCTAAAATACCTTTGTATCCTCAGGATTGAGTATGACGCAGGACCCAAAGTAGATCCCCAATACAGGTTTGTGGAGATGTTTTGGAGAGCTTTTAAGAACACTTCTTTCCAGTCTCAGCACACCCATTTGTAAGGAGGTGGGTGGAGGCTATCCCTGGAGGTCCCTAACAGGTCAAAGACATCCAGTGTATCCTATGCCTTGCTCTTCCCAGAAGTCCTCGAGGAGACCATTCCACCCTTCATTTATCACTAGCCATCCTTGGGAGGAGCTGAGCCCCATGCTTTCTTCATGGTTCTATTCATCTTAGACAATCTGCCCCTCTAGGACTACCATGATTCAGACTTGTCACATCCTGAAAACCAAGCAGCTGACACATTTCAGCAGCTTCTGGCTCCTTTAGATATTAATGGATCTTCACCTCTGGGAAAAAACACTACAGTGTCCCATCACCTAATTCAACAAGTGACAAGTTGTTTTTAATTTGCTCTGCGTGCTAATTCCTCACAGCATCGTCTATAGAATGCCATTAAGACTCACACTTTCCACCCAGGGTGCTTTTTAACAAGTCCATTAGACAAGTGGAATTTGATGCAAATTATTTAACGACTCTTCCATTCCTTTGCCCGCATGAATTTCAACGGTGACAGTCTCTTGCTAACTGGGGAAGTCTAGCGAGGGGAGAGGGAAGCAGCTGCTTGTACTCACTGCTGTGCAGTAGGGTGAGATAGATACCTGGGTACCTACTAAGACAGTGCTTATTAGGTATCCCACAGGGCAGAAGCATTTTATATTCTTTTTAAAATTAAATCATAACTGCAAACATTAATGCATTTATGGGGTACAATGTGCTGATTTTATATACAATTTGGAATGCTTTCTTCAAACTGGTTAATGCAGGTAATGTGCACACCATGAAATATTATGCAGCCATAAAAAGATAGAGACTTTACCTCTTTTATGTTTACATGGATGGGGCTGGAACATATTCTTATTAGTAAATTATCACAAGAATGGAAGAAAAAAGAAGCATTTTATATTTCCTATCTCACTCTATTTACCAGGTAGACAAGATAGCATGTGGGTTATATGACAGGCTTCCAAGACAGAAAAGTCCTAAGCATGCCATTACTAGCCATAAATTTTGGACATGTTCCTCAACCTATTAGATGATCACTTTACCATAAATGACAGTTCTGTCATTTATGAAATGCTGATAATAATGGCACTGACTCACAGATAGTTGTAGGAATACCAGAGTAGAATAATGCATGCACCAGGCCCAACACAGGATGAATTCTACTTTGGCATCACTCCTTTCCCCCACCCCCACATAGTTTTTACAAATATTAAGATATGGTTTCACTATGTGGTCCAGGCTGGTCTCAAACTCCTGGGCCCAAGCAATCCTCCTGCCTCAGCCTCCTGAGCAGGGTATTACAGGCACATGCCCCAGGGCCGGGCTTCACTTTGTTATTATTTTGGACAATAATCCTGCCA